CGTAAAAGGTCCGCTGGTGGTCCATAATCGATAAGAGTAGGCTTCGGCCGCCACTCGGGCAAAATTCAAAATGTTCTACCGCCTGAAAATGTATTATGTGCCCCGTGCTCCCAACTCTCATATGACCTTATGTAGTTGAGAGCGCCGTAAAACACTTACCAAAAATATAAGTAAGTAAAAATGTCGCCTCGGATAGTTGTGGGTGCTCAAAGACTGACTGCGTTATGAACTTTGGTTTGTCAGAAAATCCTGATTGTACGTGTTATTGATTATAAAGATATTTGTTTTATGTGGTCTATGTGGTCGACTGCATAAGGTCATACACGCAAGAAGATTAGGGGTGTTACAAAAGAGTAACAAACATAAAAAAAGAAAGAGGGGAGATATGGACGATAGATGTTTAATAGGAAAGAAGAAGCAAACCACACCAGAGCACCCCCCAACCACCCACACTTTTAATTTGGAACTAAATGTTTCTATATTCAACGAATATACAAACATTACTGAGAGTAATAGCTGTCCTTTTTCATGTTTGAGACAATACTTGATTTTATTGGATGCTAGGTTTTCTCTTCAAACGGCGGTACACGACACGAAGAAGGCCCCAAATCAAACAAAAGCTAGAGATAATAAATTCCACCATTCCAGAGTGTCACACGCTTCGCGGTCTCGGAAGATCTCACGTGGATTAGTGGAGGGCTCTAATCGATACTACTACTCAGTACCAAAGATCGTTCTTAACAAGATAGTTCCCTCGGCTAAAAAAGTGTCTGCGGAAGTCCGCGCATTGCTTCCGGTGGGGCTGCTGTTTTGTTTTGAAGCTTTCTTTCGTTTCTTCAGAAGAAGAATAGGAGGAATAGCACATCTTGTTAGTTTCGCTTTTTTTTGTTTTTCCCTCAAGTAGGGTGACTCTGTTCGCAAAGTCCGCGCTTTTTCGAAGAGTTCGCCACCGGATTTTGAGGACACTTTTTTTAATTGATTCAAACAGAGGAGTGAATTATCTTGTTATATATACGATCTTTGTCAGTACTTAAGAACGACTCCCTTATAGTAAGTACTTAGAGATATTGTTGTCGCTTAGTCGATATTATTCGATACTCAAGTTTTGGAATATTTGATTAAAATTTATTTTTTTAAACTAAAAAGCGTTGAGAATGCAGCTGACCGACATAATATTATTGTCCGTGATATACAAAGACATGCAACCGATTTCCATAGTGGAAGTTGGTGGATTCCAAGAGTTCATGAATGTGGTCGATCACACAAAATTCAAAAGATAACTTTCGGGGTTCAGCTAAAATAAAGAAGAAAAAAAAAAAAAGAAAAAAAGAAAACATTTTAAAGAAAGGACCCCTCCACCCTCCCGGAAAAAAAAGATAAAATTGAATGTTTAATAGAGAAAACAGAAGCAAAAGACAGATCAGACTAATGCATGCAGGCCTACAACTGCATAAATTTGTGGGCTGTAATTGCCATTATTCAGTTAATTAAGAAACCTTTCGTGACTTCTCTTTGTTGAATTTTAGTAAGTCCCGAGTACAGATCGATATTGATGAGCTCTCTAAATCGATAAAGTTCTCGATAATTGCCGGTATTGAGTAGCGTTCACCTGTAGCGTGAATGTAGGAGGGGAGATTTTACCCCGAGTCGTGTGAGGGCCGATATAGATCCGACGTTATGCCGACGACAAAGGTCTTAATTGGTCCCTTTTAAGCACAAGGGGGCTATCCCGAAAAATGTTGTTTTGAGAAAATCGAAGGTAAAGTTATAGGACCCTTGTTCAGTTTCTTTAAAAGTCAACAGGAGTTTTCTCTGTAATCAAACACCTATAGGTAGGACAACGCCCACTTTTGGTAAAGGTCAAGATTTCTGGAAACCCCCCCAATTCTGGGTTAGCCCGCTTGTCCTTAAAAGCGACCAATTATGTTATCTCCTGGCCGCTCAGCCCAGCCAATCTGTGCCCTGACCATGAAGAAAGCAATTTGCTATGTCAGAATTACAAAGTTCTACCAGACGTTTCTGGCTGTTTTGAGCTACTAAAGAAATGGGGTCAGAAAGCAAATTCAATGCTCTATCTGCTGTGTCAAAAACGTAAGAACATTCGGAGTCGTTGTCAAGATATTGAAAGAATTGCAATCGAAAAGACTTGGTATATTATTGTGAAACTCAAAACTTCTGACGTCAAATTTATCAAAACCTGTCTGCTTCTACATCTAGATCTAGATACTGAGCAGATATAACTTTGTAATTCTGAGGTACGAACTCTATCGCCCAAGAAGAAACTGGGAACAACCACATCTCTATCTTTCTAGAGCACTACACGTTAAGTTTTGGGAAAATCCCATGAGCGGTGTGAAAATGGTGAAATGGTAGAGATCTAGTAGGTTTAACGCCCCTATCAACACTTACGTTATTCAAAAGGCGAGACCTCCGAGTTTAACGTCCATCTCCCAAAGGACCGGTGAGCAGTGTAATTTGGGAGTACTTTTAGTGAACTTAT